ACTTAAATGTTTCAGGTAAAAGGGCATTTATTGCTGGAGTTGCTGATGATAATGGCTATGGATGGGCAATTGCAAAGGCACTTGCTGCGGCTGGTGCTGAAATTCTTGTTGGTACATGGGTGCCGGTATGTTGATCAGACTCTTGCAGATTTCTTTGCATTGGACACTTTTACTGATCTGTTGTCTTATGTAGTATTCTTCTTTGATAGGCACTTAACATATTTGAGACAAGTCTGAGGCGTGGAAAGTTTGATGAATCACGGAAGTCTGTATTTTAGTTCTTTATTAGATTCATCATACAGATAGTTTAGCAGGTGTCTAACTTAAATGTTGATACAGGCTGCCAGATGGATCTCTTATGGATATTGTTAAAGTCTATCCACTTGATGCTGTCTACGATTCCCCTGATGATGTTCCTGAAGATGTAATGTTCCTATTTTTTTATCCTCTTTTTGCAACATGGCTTCATAATTAACATTTTATTTCTCTATTAGGTCAAATCAAACAAAAGATATGCAGGGTCATCAAACTGGACAGTAAAGGTGTGTAGTTGGCAATCATTTTTCCATATGTATAGCTGCCTAGGTTCTATGCTTGCTAGAAGAAAATGCTCAAAATACAACTGCAGTGTGTTACCTGTTTCTCATAAAAGCTTTAGTGACAATAACATTGATCTCTCTTAATTTAACAGGAAGTTGTTGAATCAGTGAAGAATGATTTTGGCAGCATTGACATACTAGTGCATTCTCTTGCTAATGGCCCAGAGGTACAATCTCCCTCCATCTCGCTCTGTGTATACGTGCATGCAGTGGTGTGCTGCAGCTCTTTCTTGTGACACTAGACTCATTGTCTAACCATCTTAAAAATCGCCTATCTTCATTTTTTAGGTAACGAAGCCTTTGTTAGAAACATCAAGAAGAGGCTATCTTGCGGCAATTTCAGCATCCAGTTACTCCTATGTTTCATTGCTTCAGCACTTCCTTCCTATAATGAATCCCGGTAGTGCATATCTCCTATGCTATGCTGGCGCTTCTAACATTATTTCCCATGCTAAGATTAATACTGCTGTTGCTGCCTTTTTTTTCTTAAGCCAATGAATCATCGTAGTGTACTTCGTGTCGGTGAAACTTTTGAGTATAAAATCTATTATTCTGGTTTCACCCTTTTTGACCTCTTCATTTATCCTTTAATAGAGAAAATGTGTTCTGAAACGCTACCTGTTAACCTTTATGTTGACACTGTTTCATGCATTTCAATATTTTGCAGGTGGTGCTAGCATCTCTCTAACATACATTGCATCTGAAAGGGCGATTCCTGGGTATAATATTCTGTTGAGGTTTTTGTGACGCAGCTAATTTCTGTGCTATGACATTTCGTGACTATTATGTTGATTTTGTTCTCTGATAGGTATGGTGGTGGCATGAGTTCTGCTAAAGCAGCTCTTGAGAGTGATACACGGGTATGGTCTTGCATAATTGTGTACTTAAATTCTTCATTTTCCCATGAATTCATGTTCTTATTTACATTTATAAACCTGTCGATGTAGGTGCTTGCTTTTGAAGCTGGCCGAAAAGGCAAAATCAGAGTTAACACCATATCAGCAGGTACTTTCATCAAGTAATACTGCTGAAGTAAAAAGAATATTAGCAGTATATATTTTTTTTTGTAAACTATTCCTCTATGCCTTGACAATTAACCTACACTTGTATCTGTAGGCCCTCTTGGGAGCCGAGCTGCTAAGGCAATTGGATTTATTGAGAAGATGATAGAGTACTCATATGTTAATGCACCATTGCAGAAGGAACTGTTGGCTGGTCAGAGTTGCCTCCTTCCTTTGTTACTTGTGACTTGCTGTTTCTTCACCCTATTTGAAAGGCGCAACCTTTTTCTTCAAATGTTCTTTTTTCCTTAACAAATGTACTCTTGTTGAACAGATGAGGTGGGGAACACGGCTGCATTCCTGGTTTCTTCATTGGCTTCTGCCATCACTGGCTCGACTGTTTATGTTGACAATGGACTCAATACAATGGGGATTGCAATTGACAGCCCTACCATAACGTCATAGATGTGGTTGTGGTAGATAGACGACCATTCCTGCTGCATTGCGGTGTGATTCTTGAATAAAGATCTTAATTAGTTATTACTATGAGAGGTAAGGGCAGGAAAGGGACAAAATATGAAGTAACTGGTCTTTTGCGCCTTCTGTGTTGGAGATCAACATTAGAGTAATTTCCAGAATGATGGGGTACCTGGTAAATGCTATGATGTGGTTTTAAACGATTCAGAAGCAGTACAATAATTCCCTATAGTGTGTTTCTGATATTGTGTTTACTTGACATTTTCAGCCTTTTATACTATTTTCACCGTGGTTGTGTACTCCCTATAAGAGCTATGAGCCAAGCCAAATGTTTTTCCTGTTTACATGTGGGATTACTATCTAGTACATCAATAGATAGAACTAGAGGCACCCATACATCCATATTTACCAATCTTTGAGAATAAAAATAAAATTTGTGGAGCATAGATTAGATCCACCAAAGGATGTGGATCTGACAATCTTGACAACGAGTGCTTGATCTATTACAAGATCGCTCTAATCATCCTCGTCTACCTTTCTTTTGCTTTTGTGTTGGAGGCTCTTTTATCTGTTTTGGGTGTGCCATTCAGCATCGAGTGCAAACTACGAAGGATGATGGCATCTTCATTTTCGCTTATAACAGATTGGTGGCAAGGGGAATCGTAGAACCCAGACAAATGTGATGAGGTGAGCGTGATTCTACCGACCGCCCGTGAACACGGATGGGACAAAACAAACAACGTATTTAGGATCAACTTTTGTCAGTAACGCATAAATTGCCTGCACGGTACCCAGCTGATCATAGTACAACTAGCCAGAACACGCGGCAATTGCCCCGGGCTAGGCAGCAGGGCCAGCAGACATGTATGTATAGGCGAGTAATTGATTGTGCGCACACCTCTCTCTCTCTCTCTCTCTCTCTCTATATATATATATATATATATATATATATATATATATATATATATATATATATATATATATATATATATATATATATATATATATATATATATATAGAGCTATGGATAAAAACGGTACGGATATTTATTCGACCGAACAAATATGAACACTTATCTGGATAGTTACTCGGATATCCGTAATTTTTTCGGATACGGATAATAAAACGGATATCTTAGACGGATATCAAATACGAATGTAATATCATCGATATCCGGCGGATATCGGATAATCCGGTTAAGTATCGGATATATCTGGATATTATTCAAACGGATATTATCCGGATATTATTCAAACGACCTTGGATGGAGAAATGATTAAAATAAAAATTGTAGATCTCAAAAAGTTATGAAACTTTGTTGTTTACAACTTTTTCATTTGAAATCATTTAGTAATTCAAAATGCTATTTGAATTTCAATTTCGAAATGGTTAAAGAACGCCTATTTCTCTTTTTAATCTTTGGCTAAAACTTGTAACTAGTTTTTCTCCCTCGTACTAACTTCAAATTTGATAATTTTTTTTTCTAAAATTTTCTAAAATCATGTTCTATCAATTTATTGTGTTCTTATAGCTATTATTGTGTTCATCTTTTCATGTGACTGTATTCTATCTATTTGAATTTTGAATTTCAAAAAATAGCAACTTCAAACGTCATTTTCAAACATTAAATGACTTTAGCTGAAAAAGTCATGAACATAAAAGTTGTAAAACTTATTAAGATCTACAACTTTTATTTTGGTCATTTGTTCATCCGAGATTACGGTAGTAACATTGTTAACAAAATTTACATCTCTCTTGTAGTTTCATAAACTATAAGAGAGATGTGTGAGATTCGTGAATAATGTTACTACCACTATGTTGGATGAATAAATGACTAAAATAAAAGTTGTAGATCTCAGAAATTTATGAAACTTTATAGTTGAAAACTTTTTTATTTGAAATCATCTTGTCAAGGAAAACTACATTTGAATTTCTCAAATTTAAAATTTGAATTTTTCAAATGACCTCGGAATCTCAGATGGAGAAACAACCAAAATGAAAGTTTTAGATCCCAAAAAGTTATGAAACTTTGTTGATTACAACATTTTCATTTGAATTTGTTTAGGGCCTCAAACAATAATTTTTTGCTTTTTTTGTTTTTTTTTGTCTCGAATTCTGATTTTTGGAATTGGGCCAAAATATTACTTCTTGCCCAAACGGCCCAATCTTCTATAACCCTAGCTAAGCTAGCTGGCCCATATATAAGTTCCCACTTGGATATATATATATATATATATATATATATATATATATATATATATATATATATATATATATATATATATATATATATATATATATATATATATATATATATATGCTGTTTTTACTCAATATCTAACTTTCTCCGAATCCGATTCATACCGTATTCGATACTCATTATTCGTATATGTAACCGAGTCAATCCGTATTCGTATATGTATCCGAACGCTATCCGTGTCCGAATCCGAACAGAAATATGAAAACAAATATAATATGAGTAATATCCGTTCGTATCCGATCCATTTTCATCCATATATATAGCTGATCTTAAACATGCCATCTGTTGTGAACCGATGCCTGCCTACACAAGGCCAACAGGCATTCACACCAACAGGCGCCTTTCCACAGGGTGATCTCATCCTGTCCGTACGCATGGTTAGGGTTAGGATTAGGATTGGTAGTTAACCTCGTCACCAAAGGGGCTGTCTTTTGGTGAACGGTTGTCTCTCTTGGAGAAACCCCTTCAGATGTATATAATCTCCTTTACAGATCAATGAAAGACAGTTCTCTCAATTTATTTGTTCCATTTACATTTCACTTTACAACATGTTATTAGCCACTTTCGCTCTACAAAACAACTGGAGAAGGAGAAGGACAACAACAGAGGCACATGCCTCTGAAACATCAACGGTAAGCACCATGGCAAAGATCAACTCAATGTCACATGTCGTTGGTGGCTTGTTCTTCGCTCTTCGCCACGTCGGCGGAGTTCGCCGTGGCCCGATCCACCACCACGGCCACCATGGACAGCGCCGCAGCGTCTTCGAGCGCCTTGCACCTCGTGTTCGCCGCAACATTGCCAATGGAGGCCATGGTCCTTTCGGCTGCATCTTCGACTCTGCAGTTGTCCAGTTCGTCGCCACCAATGGAGTCTAGTTCGTCGTGACCGCCATGCTTCTCCTCCGCGCGATCTTCGTCTATAGAGCCAGCCACCATCTCCTCGCCTTCGCGCGGATGGTGCCGGCCCCAGAAACGATGCACCGCACGCTGTTGAGGCCCTAGCACCACCTATCGTCGAAGCACCGGCGTAGCCCTCTGTGGAAGCCCCGAGCCACCCGCTCAAGTGGTGGCCGCCCCTGTCACTACACCCACTGGAATCCCTATGGAGGAGATGTCGCCGGCACCAAATCGCCACTTGTGCGATTTCTGCAAGGAGTACACGCTGATCCCGCACACCCTGGAGTACAACTACTCATTGCCATCGCCCACACCGGTCCCGGTGACCCAAGTGGCGGCTGGCAGTGGTGATCCCGGCGGCGACCTCACTATGTGGATGTTTAATACCGTCGCCACGCCGATGCTCCAGCAAGTGAAGACCGAGGACGAGGACATGGTGGCTGCCCCTGGCGTCCGCAACCTCTTCAACCCCGACGGCACGCGTGCAACAAGGACCGGCGTCCCGCTGTACAACTTTCTTGACATGGCTGGCCCCTTGGCTCTGCCTCCGGCAGTGATGCTTCCCCTTCCTTAGCGCACCTTGAGCCCGCGCACAGACCCCTCGGCTTCTCCTCCGACGGCGACCCCGACACCGGCATCTTCGCCAGCAACACGCGTGGAGGCCGCTACACGCATGAAGGCGGTGGCTCTCCTGGGTCCTCCTCCGGCCGAGGGCACCACCACCATGGCCCCGACTCTCAGGCGCCTCCTCGGACGCGTGGTGGCCGTAGTTGACCGGTGCCTAGCCTCTGGCGCATAGGCACTTGGAACCCGGCCGGCGGATCTTGGTCTCCCGAGCGCGGAGGTGCTCAACATGGTGGTGAATGACAGTGACTTCTACTCCCAGGAGGACGGGGACTCCTCCTCGAACTGAAGACCGGCGGCAACGGTGGCGTAGTGGAGTGCGACGGCGAGGTGGTTTGCGGCGGCGGCTGCCTTTAGATGGCAACGGTGGTGGGTGGTTACCCTAACCACCGGCTGAGCCCCTTTTAAAGGCTTGCGGCTGCAACTAGGCCGGCTCACACAGCCCGTGCCTTGCCACCCCCTCCATTTCCACTGTGCGTGCCCGCATGGACCTGCATGAGCCACAATCCAGGATGCTAATGGATTCAAGTTTGGTAAATCAAGCTATTTACTATTTTCGTCAATTTATTTTTCAGCATTAATTCGCATAAGACTCCGTTAGTCTCTTGTAATTATGTGCTGTAAAAATAGTACTATAATGTTTAGTCGTTGACTTTAGAAATAATTGTACTTGTGATGTTTTTATCATTGTAAATTATCTGTTTATGATATTGTTCAAAGCATTTGTCCCAGTATGTATGGCAAATCCAATAAACAATATCCTTGTTGTTATGACCTTGATCTTGCAATTTACATATTTATTTATTTATTTCGCAATCGATCATTTTATTTAAGCCCATTTAAGCTTTTTAATTTAAAGCACTACGCGCTTAAATAATGGATGCAACATTTTATGTGTATTTTGTCATCAATTGTATAACACGCATGTTCTATATTTGTTTGTTGGCCATACACAAGGTAGCACCATTATTGCTACTGTGGGATCTACACTAAGTAAACACTTAGTGAATATCCTCAACGTGCATACCCAACATCACAAATTAGAACATTTGGACTACATCTTTTCACAAAAGATGACTACCATTAATTTGCATTCCTATTAACCATACACAAGGTAGCACCATAGTTGCTACTACAGGATCTACACTAAGTCCACAACTTAGTGACTATATCCTCAACGTGCATACCCAATTCGTTTGTAAATTAAACTAAGGTCTACATCAATTCTTGATGACTACCTTAAGACGTGTTTATACAACTTGTATTAATTACTAGGCATCTTCTGTTAACACAGACTATGCCCAATTTGAGGTCTACACCTTTGAAAGCCCTAGTTTGGTTTTGAATAATTGATGAGACCTATTTGGACTAATCCTTGCATCTAAGTGTGTGACTAGATAGGATGGTCAAATCCAAGTGGTGGAGCAAGATGAAGTCCATGGTGATGGTGATGGGCATGTGATCATGATGATCATGTTGTAAACATGGAAAAGAAGAAAGTGAAAAACAAAATTGGTTCAAGGCAAAGGTATAATTAATAGGGCTATTTTATTTTGCCACTCAAGACACCAAGTGGGTGTGAGTGGGTTTAGGATAGATAGCCATACTATCAAGAGGGGAGAATCTCAGTTAAAGCTGTTATCAAGTGCCACTAGGTGAAATGATTCATGCATATGCATTAAGACCTAGTGTGCTAACAATTAACCATTGGAAAGTACTTGAAAAATACTAACATATGTGCACAGTGATGATACACAATGTATTTAGCACTTGGGAGCAAGGGTGAAGAGATAGAAGTTGATTTGGAGGTGAAAGGGTCAACAGGACCCTGATGGCGAGGGCAACAGGTAGTTTGTGTTGAACATATGATGGTTCTTGGATAGGAATTCTATCTTGATCTATTGTGCTTTGGAACAAATATGCATGTGGGATGTGTAGCCCTCTACATAAGATTTCCAAAATGTCGAAGATCATCGAAATCGGAGTTCGGAGCTAAGAATTATAGTTGTTTTAGCACTCAGGACTCTAGCTCAGGACCGGGTCTGGATCTAGGGTCCGAACCATGTTCTCTGGGTCCGGTTGTTGGGTCCAGACCATGTTTTCTAGGTTCGGTTGAGTGTTTTTACATGCGTTTGGAGGGACAGGACCATGAGATGGTCCGATTGTTGGCTCCAGACCGGGTTCGGAGGGAAAAACCCTCTCTGGAACATCTCTAGATTGAATATTTTCCCTAGAACATCTCTAGATTGAATAGGACCGAGGGGCTTGATTGTCCTGTTGCTCAGTCCAGTTCTAGGGTCCGGTACTACGCAGTTTGACACATTTTTTAGTGATCATTGAGATCTAACAAGCGCGTTTGAACTAGTGGAGACATGGCAAGATCCAGGGGTCCAAACCTTCACTGTAGATGGTCTAGAACCATCACTACTACAGATTGATATTTCACTGTTGCCACTTTCACTGCCGTAGCGATAGAAGCGACGATGTCATACTTCCACCGCCGGTTGGACAGATAGTGAGCCCTCCTGAGGAAGGAAACCGGCAGTTGAAACTTCTACCACCGACGGGTTAACAATAGATGCGGCAGTGGTATTTTCTCAGTCATATGAAAAGCTGAGCCGACTGGGAAACATGTTATGGCCACTGGCCCTCCACGACTGTTTGGTATTTTGGTGTTAAAGTTAGCGTGAGTTATTTCCCAACTACCCACAACACAGTTGCATCACCATTACTTGTACTTCTCCATCTTTAAGGTTGGCTGGTTTAACTAGGGTCTGGATGCACCTCTTGAGCTCAATCCACACACTCTTGAATCCACAAACTCATGAGCTATTGTATCTTTCCTCATTGCCTAGAAGTGCTTTGTCTTCATCCTTGCACCTCTCACTACGTGCAATATGGAGATAAAGCACCTCACAGGGTGTTTAGAGAAGGCCTTCAAGATTGGGTGCTTTAGATTCCATAACCTTGCTGCCCCATAGCATCGTGATGTAGATCTACATCCCTTGACACTAAGAGGTAGTAAGATTATGGAATATAAAGAACCTCACTGAGATGCAGGTGCAAGTTTTACAAGGTGCTCCTTCTCCATCCTCGGTGAGGTGCTGCCGCTGAACAGGAGCTTGACCTTGACGATTGCAGATCTTCTTGTAGATCTTGTGTTAACAGAAGATCTATAATCATCTAGTTCTCTCCTGTTCAGGGGATCCCTACTCGATTGGGGGTGCTTCAAGTTTACACGGTGCTCGTTCAATCGTTCTTCAAGATTGGGTGCTTATATTCCATCTTGCAGGTCTCATGGTCAAGATGGAAGGTACAACACCTCACTGAGGGTGTAGTTTTGTGATGTGCTGTGTCATTCTTTAGATTCCATGATCTTTGTACCTTGGAGGATCGAAATGCAGATCTGTTCGTTTATGTGCAAACCGTCGTATGATACGGAACTATTATCGCGTAGACCACAATGGAAAATACGTAAAGTAGTACTATACCCAAGTATTTGGGTCCATGCTTGATAGCCGAGTTTCATCGGCTCAAAATATAGCTGACACCTAGAGTATCGCCTTTAGAACAAAAAATAACAATAAAAGACATAGGATAAAAAATGACATTCAAACAGTAGATTCTTTACTTATAAGGCCCTAGATATAATCTATGGTCTTGAGATAACATTGTTTACAACATCTTATGCATGGATGATCACTGTGATAGCCTCAGCAGCATCAGTGAAGTCTCCAATCAGGTCCTCTTGATCTTCTAGCCGATCAGTGTTCGGAAAACTAGGTTCCAGGTGACGGAGCTCGTGCCCTGAACACAGTTGCGCTGCAGCCAGAGTGGCACCGGCACCATAGCGGATCCCATGAGTTGCCATTTCTCTGGCATGAACTGGGATATCTTGCAGACGATCTTCAAGAGAAACTCCCCTGGCGTTGACTGCTGCAACTGCGCCTTGTGCTACCCAATTGGAGGATCTCATGGCGACTCTCCAGGTCAATCTCCCGATGACGAGCCTCCTCGATCTCCTGACAAGAAGCAGCTAGTTGTTCCTCAAGATCTAATGCAAATGAAGGGTTATCAGATAAAGTCATGAATATAAAAGGAAAGACTCTTCAAAGAAATTTTACCTGTTGCCCTAGCATGAGCTTCATCAGCCCTCATCTGAGCTACATTGGTCTCTTCTTTAGATGCAGAGAGGGCTATTTTAACGGCATTGAGACATAGCTCGAGCCGACCTACCTCACGCGTCGCTTCATAATACAGGTTTTCGGCCTCCCTCCTTTCACGGATAATATTCTGGACATCCTGACCATCATATGACTTAGAGTCAGAGGATGAACATGAAGATACCATGGACCCAACAAGATGTGCTTCGATAGCACGCACAATCGATTGTTGTCCAACCTCTGCCAGAGTTG